GTCGCTGACACCGTCGTAGTAGGAGAAGTATGTGGCGTCGCTGACACCGTCGTAGTAGGAGAAGTATGCCGCGTCGCTGACACAGGCGTAGGAGAAGTATATGGCGTCGCTGACACCGTCGTAGTAGGAGAAGTATGTGGCGTCGCTGACACCGTCGTAGTAGGAGAAGTATGCCGCGTCGCTGACACAGGCGTAGGAGAAGTAGCTGTCGTCGCTGCTGAGGGTGGGAAGGAAGATGGAGTCGCTGGCGTCGCTGACGCTGGCGTTGGAGCTGGCAGGGTTGTAGGCGTAGTAGGCGTAGTCGCTGGCGTCGCTGACGCTGGCGTTGGTGCTGGCGTCGCTGACGCTGGCGTTGATGCTGGCGTCGCTGACGCTGGCGTTGATGCTGGCGCTGAGCAACAGCGCGAGGAGGCCGCTGGGCCTCGATTCCAGTATGGAGTGCGACGTCGCAGACGTCGTCTTGGGTATGCGGCCCCGCGGGCCGGGATAGCGAGCCTCGCTCCAAGCTACCACTGTGATATGGATGGCGCGCGCGGCGCGACGATCTTTATGCGAAAGAGAGCGCTGCTCAATCTATCTGCGTAGCTCTAAGGCCAAGGGCCCTAGTTCGAAACAAAACGGCAGCGGCACGAGCGGGCGTGAGGGATAGAGCGGGGATGCAGGAAGAGCACGGGGAGTGAGCGGGAATCACAGTTGCAAACTGCGCAATTGCTGGCACGCTCGTGGGTTCGTAAAAAGTCTAGCGGAGGCGTCAGTAGTCAGGCGAAGCCTCCTCCCCTGTGAGGTTGAAAACTGAACAAATGTCGCCACTTTCGTGTGTTCCTGAAAGGTGCAGCGGGCACGGCAATCAGGCGAGACCTCCCCCCTGGGAAGGTTGCAAACTGCGCAACTGACGGCACTTTCGTGGGCTCCTAAAAGGTCTAGCGGAAACGGTAGTCAGGCGAGACCTCCTCCCCTGGGAGGTTGCAAACTGCGCAACTGACGGCACTTTCGTGGGCTCCTAGAAGATCCAGCGGGGGCGGTAGGCAGGCGAGACCTCCTCCCCTGACGGGTTGCGTACTGCGCAACTGTCGCCACTGTCGTGGGCTCCTAAAAGGTCCAGCGGCGACGGTAGTCAAGCGAGACCTCCTCCTCTGGGAGGTTGCAAACTGCGCAACTGAGGGCACTTTCGTGTGCTCCTAAAGGGTCCAGCGGAGGCGGTAGTCAGGCGAGATCCCCTCCCCTGTGAAGTTGCACACTGCGCAACTGACGGCACCTTCGTGGGCTCCTAAAAGGTCCAGCGGAGGTGGTAGTCAGGCGAGACCTCTACTGCGCAACTGACGGCACTTTCGAGGGCTCCTAAAAGGTCCAGCGGAGGCGGTAGTCAGGCGAGACCTCCTCCCTGAGAGGTTGCACATCGGGCAACTGACTGCACTCTCATGGGCTCCTGAACGGTTCAACGGAGCCGGTGGTTAGTCAGGCGAGACCTCCTCCCCTGGGAGGTTGCAAACTGCGCAACTGATGGCACGCTCGTAGGTCCAGCGGAGGCGGTAGTCAGGCGAGACCTCCTCCCCCTGGGAGGTTGCAAACTGCGCAACTGTCGGCACTTTCGCGGGCTCCTAAAAAAGTCCAGCGGATGCGGTAGTCAGGCGAGACCTCGCGGCTCCCTTGAAGGCAGCGACCTGCGCCATTGTCGCCACTTTCGTGTGCTCCTGGGAGGTCCAGCGGAGGCGGTAGTCAGACGAGACCTCGTGGCTCCCTGGGAGGCTGCGAACTGCGCAACCAACTGTCGCCACTTTCGTGGGCCCCTGGGAGGTCCAACGGAGCCGATTGTTAACGCAACGTGCATGTTGCATGGAGCGATCATCTAACTAATCGCGTCGCGTGGGAAAAGGTGTTGGTGCGTCCCAGGTAATGTCTTACGTCCGTGACCCTCCTCCTTCTCCTCCTCCTCATCAGCAGCAGCCGCATTATCATCGTGGTCATCATCATAACCATCATCAACCTCATCATTATCAGCATTATCATCATCATCATCATCATCATCATCATCATCATCATCATCATCATCATCATCATCATCATCGTCAGCATCATCATCATCAACAACAACAGCAATAACAACAACAGCACCAACAACAACACCAACATCATCATCAGCATCATAATCAGCATCATCATCATCATCGTCATCATCATCACCATCAGCATCGTCATGTACATCATCATCAGCAGCATCTTCATCATCGTCTTCATCATCATCGTCTTCATCATCAGCAGCAGCATCAGCAGCATCAGCATCAGCATCAGCATCATCATCATCATCATCGTCATCGTCATCGTCATCATCATCAGCATAATCATCGACATACTCATCATCAGCAGCATAATCACCATCATCATCATCATTCACTAATACATCCATCCATCCATTCATTGATTCATTCATTCTTTTATTCAGCATCACCATTATCGGCATCACCATCATCATCATCATCATCATCATCAGCAGCAGCAGCAGCATCAGCATCAGCATCAGCATCAGCAGCATCTTCAGCATCATCATCATCATCATCATCATCAGCTACATCATCAGCAGCATCTTCAGCATCATATTCATCATCATCATCATCATCATCATCATCATCATCATCATCATCATCATCATCATCATCATCATCATCATCATCATTAGCATCATCATCATCATCATCATCTTCATCATCATCATCATCATCATCATCATCATCATCATCATCAACATCATCATGCGCTGGAAACGGAGAGGACTGAGGTGGGCCAGCGGGCAGCAACATTGAGAGGGTCGGTTTGCGTGTCCCTCTGCCGGGCCCTGAATAGCTCTGGAGGAGGAGGAGGAAAAAAAAGGAGTAGGAGGAGGCCGTGGAGGAGGGGGCGGGTCACACGTCAGCTCCAGAGGAATCTGGCCCTGAACTGAGAGGTGGTCTCTGGTTCCTCCTCCTACTCCCCCACTAATCATCATCATCCTGTTCCCGTCCTTCCAGTCATCCCTCCCTTCTCCTCCCCATCCACCCGCTCCTCCTCCTAATACTTGAACCCTTGGAGATGCGGGTAGGTGTGTCAGCGACTGGAGCCATCGCCTCCACCTCCTCCTCATCATCATCATCATCATCATCATCATCATCATCATCATCAATATCATCATCATCATCATCATCATCATCACCACCACCACCATCATCATCATCATCATCACCATCATCATCATCATCATCATCATCATCATCATCATCATCATCAGCAGCAGCATCAGCATCAGCATCAGCATCATCATCAGTATCAGCATCAGCATCAGCATCAACATCATCATTTACATCGTCATCATCATCGTCATCGTCATCGTCATCATCATCAGCATAATCACCATCATCATCATCATCATCATCATCATCATAATCATCCATCAGCAGCATCATCAGCATCATAATCATCAGCATCAACATCAACATCAGCATCATCATCAGCATCAGCATCCTCACCAGCATCATCATCATCCTCATCCTCATGATCATCATCATCATCATAATCATCATCATCAGCAGCATCATCATAATCACCATCGTCATCATTTACAACACCATCATCATCAGTAGCATCAGCATAATCATCATCATGGCCATCATCATCAGAATCAGCATCATCATTATCAATTACATCATCATCATCATCATCATCATCATAATCATCATCATCATCAGCATCATCAGCGCTCAGCATCATCATCATCATCATCATCAGCTACATCATCAGCAGCATCTTCAGCATCATATTCATCATCATCATCATCATCATCATCATCATCATCATCATCATCATCATCATCATTAGCATCATCATCATCATCATCATCATCATCATCATCATCATCATCGTCATAATCATCATCCTCGTCCTCCTCCTCCTTCTCCATCCTTTGTCCTTATTATGACTAACTGCTCCCTGTCGCACCCCAAGACGTGTGGGTAGGGCGGGGCGGGCGTTTCGCCTGAGACTTCCTCACAATATACGTGTGATCCTGGAGCTCGAGATGTGGATCGGCTTCACGAACGGAAGGCGGGCGGTGTTCGAAATGTGGTTCTCGCCTTAGCGCCGCACATATTCGTTTTTAAACTTTGCAGCAACTTCAAGGATGGAGGACGGGTCGTTTTCAAAAGCGTGGCTCTCGCCTTAGTGCCGCGCACAGTCGTCTTCAAAGTTTACTGCAGTTGCAAGGGCTCAAGTGTGTGAAGTTCCAGGAATGGTGTTCTCTGTCAAGACTGTCACGGCGCAACAGTCACGTTGATTCGCGGCGTTGAGGTCCCAGGAATGGTTTTCCAGCAGGACTTAGGACTGCCAGGACGCAAAAGTCACGTTGATTTGTGGCGTTCACGTCCCAGAAACGGTGCTTGGGTACGATTGAAGAGTCTCAGGCGGTTGTTCCCCTGGGCCACATCCCCCGATGACATCTAATTATCGTAGGAACCTATGAAGAGGTAACTTGGAGAAAGGGTTTATTGCAACATCGTTGGCGTCGTGGGTTTACTCTGGCTCTTCTCCTTCTCCCTCCTCCTCCTGCTCCTCCTCTTCCTCCTCTTCCTCATCCTCTTCCTCCCCTCCGTCTCTTCTCATCATCCTGTTCTGTTAAACGCCTCGAACCGCACCATGACACCCCTAGTTCATAGTACCAGCTGGTGTCATAAACACACCCTTACCCACTTACCCATTTGCCTGGTCTGCTCCGCATGGCCTCTGCGTTGATCGAAGACACCGCTGAGCCAAGAAGATCCACGCATCCCGATTGGAAGAGTGGATGACATTTTTCCGAGCCGCGGAGGCTTCGAGAATCCAAGCAGCAACGGAGCACGAGCCTGCTCGAGCACCCTCGTCCTCACCCTCCTCCCCGAGCCTCGCCTCCACCTCCTCCTCCGTCTCACAACCCATGTCCCAATTCTCGGCCTCCGACAGATTCGTCCCCACTGCGGCTCCACAATGCCGCAGGGCGCCTCGGTGCCGCTGTTGGTGAACCGGACCATCTCCACCGACGGCACCGCGTCGATCACCTCCCTCTTGCCCCTCCCTCGCCCTCTACCTTCCTCCTGTTCATCCTTTCCTCCTCCTCCTGCAGCTACAGATCCTCCTCCTCCTCATCCTCCTCCTCAATCCTCCTCAATCCTCCTCTATCCTCCTCCTCCTCCTCCTCCTCCTCCTCCTCCTCCTCCTCCTCCATCCTCCATCGTCCATTTGACGGGCGGCGAGCGAGCGAGCGAGGTCTAGCGTGCGGAAAAAAAAAGCGCGCGCCTGTCGGAGATGGGGCAGGGAGACGTGCCACATCACACGCGCCGAGGCCAGACCTCGCCAGGCCCGCCGCGTGCCCAGGAATGGAGTGTGCAGG